CTGGTATGTATGTTAATGTACCTGCAATCATCATTGTCCAACGGAAAAGTGACAAGAACTGAGCAGGAGAATGAATTATTTGAGATTGGCACGCTACAGACAGTAACTAAGCTGTGTTGAACCGAGTCCTAGTAATAAGTTCGCGAGAAGGTTTCAAATATTAATTTTTCTTTGATGTGTATTAATTTGACACTATGGCCATCGTAAAATAAATACCTTGTCCTTAGCGATGTGCCCATAATGATCCAAAGCAATTTCTGATATTCTGTAATTGTCATATATAGTATCTTCGGGATTCGAAAATTCAAATAAATTCTCATTTGAACCGAAAATAATTATCTGAATACTCTGCATTCTTCTTGAGACTGCGAAATGGTAGATATTAGCGTAATACATGGCTACATATAATCCTAAGAATTTTTATCATCAAATCTTACCTTTACTTGGGCATAAATACACAGACCCTTCTAAGTTTAACACCAACTTCTGTTGACCTGAAATTATTCGAATCCCTTCAAAATTAGGAATTTTTGACCACTAATTGAAAAAAAACATCAGGTTTATTAATAAAAGGTCTATTATTGGTTGAATAAATTTATAGAATGTTAACCAACTTGGATATGAGTTCCTTTTTGCCTATTAAAGAAGAAGGGTGGTAGATTTATAGGAACGCTTAGGATTTCGAACACGAATTTACGTACGAACAATAAAGCTTCCTATATTATATGGAAGATATTTTAATTTGTGTAGATGATATCTCTATAGAAATATATAATAGTCATGTATTTACCATTGAGGATTTCTTGGGAAAGATTTCGATGTCTTTCAAGATGCGAATGCAGCGGCCACGCAAGGTGAATTGTACTTTATTCTTTCTTTGATCAATTTCTCTTATTTGTCGAGAATTATTTGAAAACTCGTCATTCATTGCAAGCCGAATTAGTGGAAGTAACAAAGAGTCGACAGGCCTATTCCTTTAGTAGAGATTGTGATATTACAAAATACACACGATAAAAATTAATACACCAAGATATCGACTACTTACAAGTTGTGCTCCTCGATGAGAAGGCATTGAATGGCATATGCCAAAACAAGACAACAAGTTTGAAATGTATTTTATAGAGTTAAGGAGAAAACTTCCTGTTTTAAGGACATTGAACATGTAAAAGCTTTCTAACAAAAGGATATGATTCCAAAATGGTCAAACTTTCCTCGTCTATATCAAAGAATGAATGTGCTACGAAATAGTGTAAGTCCGCTGTTCTTAAAAGTTCGTCGTGTATGCATTTCTACGTACAACAAAATTAAGATTAATTAAGTACTCTTTCACGTAACATATTTAAAGAATTTTAATATACCATTGAAATATCTAAACTTGAACTGTTGTCCATAGATTTTATTAACTCCACCAAAAAAAGTTTCATCGTACACAAAAAGTTTGCGCGAAGTTGGCAGAACCACCTTGCAAAAAATCTTTGATCGCAAGTATCTTCCAACGACATGAAACCCTAAAGAGAAAAAAATACGCACTTTATTCTTAACTTCACATAAAAAGAGACATGAGTTATACAATAAACTCCCTTTAAATGCTTCTATGAGACTTGTTTACTTGCTCTTAACAATTTTTGATAGGATCATGAATTTATTCCAAATACATTTCTTATTGCCATACGATGCCGAGAGCATAATTTAAAGGGAGTTTCTGTATCAATAGATCAATTAAGGCCTACATTCAATTCAGCATCACATAAGCTATGATGACGTATTGAAACTTCAATTAAATCAAAAATGTCAATTTGCTTCCCAATTTGTG